CATGAAAAAAATGACACCAAAAGTACAGGCCATTAAAACTCTGATTTTCAAATTACAGAAGTGCTCTAAACAATAAAACCCTTCATGAAATTCTTCACAAAACCCTGAGAAATTTATGTGATCTCCAAACACATTTAAATATTTAGCAGCAGGTGTGCAAGCCACAGGATACCTGCATTTGCATCTGGTTCTACAAACTGGTGATGCAAAACCCCTCAGGCTTGCTGCTTGTTTGGGAAAAGGATGCTCAAGCTTTCTAAGCACAGCTTTTGAGAACAGTCCATTCTTGTAATGGGTTTCATGTGGAGACAATCCAATTTCAGGCAGTGCTCCTGCCCCTGCTTCCCTCAAGCCCTACAGCCTTTCCTTGAAATCATATGAAACTTTCACGCTCAGAGTCTTTGCATTTCTGATTCAGTGACTCATTCTCTTTAATGAGGGAGCTGCTATAGTTTAAAGAAATCAAATTTAATTGCTTAGAAAAATAAATCATTATAGATATCAAGGAAAAGCTGTTCCCATTTTAAGAAACTAATAGGAGACCTTTGAAAACAAAAGAGCCCCGTGATGGGAGAGAAGAGCCCACGTGGAACTGCCTGGAAGGAATCTCATCCGTCAAACTTCAAATCTGACATGACTGCTCAGGAGAACCGTGCTCCATTTTTGTGCTCCACTTTCTTCAGTGGGACTAATGGTCCCTGCTCATCAGTGAATGAGGTGCATGCTACACTGGGTGCACCTGCCTCACTCCCATTAGCAAGTCAGGGAGACCACCTCTCTCCTCATGTTCAATGCAACCAGTTTTCTAATGCTAATGCATTAGAACAAATATCCTCTACCCGCTCCGTTTTGCCTTAATTAAAGCTTGTTTCTATTAACATTCAAAATTTGCTATGTGCCTGGCTTCTATAATGGTTTGCACATCAATGTCAAGAAATTAGGTATTATAAAAGCTGTGGACACATGAGGAGTACATCAAGAGCTCACCATAGGTAAATGCACAGTATATGCACAAAATAATGCTAAAAAATGAAATAAAGAAAAGTGATGGCACAGCATAGCATTGAAAGAAGTGAACTGGCCAGCACCAAAATATAAGAGGAATTAATTTGAAAAGAAGAGAGCTTCAGGCTAGCTTCCTTTTTCCTTTGGCTTGAGACAAAATATATGTTAACATCTAATGAGTGGAGTAATTAATTAGCTAAGTAAAACATATGTAGCAATACAAGCACTAATAGTCTGTTGCTTTATTTTTAAATAATAACATTTACTATATCAGGGAACAACAGAGAAGGAAGTTTACAAATTACACACAGAATCAGCAACATCTGTCAAACATCCGGAACTTCCAGTGTCTTGAATGAAAATCAAACTTCCAAAACACATCCTCTAAGATAAGAATTTCACTAGTGCTTCCCCTATTAACCCTCACTTCTTATAGCATCTTAATTTTAAATTAAAATGTAAAAAAAACCTTCTATGTGTCTATGTATATGACTATATTTGCATGTACTGAAAGCAATGATACCCCAAAAATTATTTTTTCAAAAAAGAGTAACCCCACTGTGCACTTCAAACAGAAATAGAGTACCCAAGAAAGCACTTGTGTTACCCCACAGCTTGAAGGATCACTGTACGTTTGGGCTCTGTCAGCCTGACCTGCTCTGAAGATGATGACAGAAAGAATTAATATGAACCATGCTTGGTTACCATCACACTTTTTTCAATCACCTCAAAGCAAAAAGCAGCAAAGTCATATTAGAACTGCACTGAAACTGCTTGGCTGTGCAAGGAGCAGTAAATGAGCAGGAAAGGCCAGTTCCTTAGGGTGGCTCTACCTAAATCACCACCTGCAGAAAGTAAGCTTATTAAAACCCATAAGGATGTTCTAATTCTTTGATTAACTAATTTTCAAGATTTTGTACCCATAAAGGAAGTTTTTCCCTATACTCAAGAAAAATGCAAAAATGGTTTGAGCGTGAAACGGAAAAAACTGCACTAGGTATTTGTCAGGTAAAATGAGAAGATGAACTTTTACCTCTCAGTAAGTAGTCTACGAAGTTTATTAAGTAGTCTACGAAGTTTATTAAGGCTCACCTCCCTCCAGGGGAGCTTACAATGATATAGAGGTCAAGAGCTAGTCCAAAGCTGGAAAAGATTAATCCCACTACAGCTACTGCATTAGGGTGTTGTCAAAGACAACACAGAGCTGCCAGCTTTAGGAAATTCTAACTACCGCATGGAGCAGTGGACAATTTTCTCAGCATCAAAGACCTCTATAAAACATATTTTATTCCCCCAAACAATACCAGGCAACATTCAACGTTTCCCCTCTCCAGCTGTTCACAGTAATAAGATGCTTCAGGTCAAGCATGGTAAAAAATCACTCAAAGCCCTGACGGGCAACATACAAAGTGCTTCTGAACTACAGGAGAAATGTCCTCAAAATGGGAAAAGCTGAACTACACAGGCAACACGATCTTTCTTTTGTGTATTCAAAGACCTTGGAACATCCTACAAGGATAAAGGACAGCGAGGAGCATCCTCGAATTTTTATCATGGCAACAATGCCACTAATAGAAGGAAAGGAACACAAAAAGGTGTGATGGTGTTTTTTTCAACCTAGTTTTCCCTGGGGAAGGGGAGTGGAAAACTGAATTAAAAAAACTCAAATAGTAGATAATACTTTGGAAGACATTTAGATATGACGATAAACAGGCTGATATCACAACTGATATATCATGTGTATTGTTTGTGATTTTAAAACATCTTAAGCAAGAATTATAGAGACTCACAAATACTGTATATGCTAATCATGTACAAAGAAATTTTTAAGCATTGCCTACATGGTATTTGTCTCTCCAGACACTCTCATGGAGTGAACATACCACGTAGGAAGCACAACTAAGCCGCTCCTACAAAGCCACTTCAGACAGCTGATGTACAGTACCTAATGCATTGACTCTAAGACGAATGAATGAGAAATACTAATGTGTTGTAATACTAAAAGCAAACAATTTGTTTTCTATTACAGGGTTTGTTATCTTTAGCTTTTCTCTCCTGCACTCAATAATAGGGAAAGAAAAATTTTAAAATATAGTTTGCTCATCCAAATCAAATTAACATAATTATAGCAGCAATAATGCTCTAAAATTGATTATCAGCTTAGAGTCTTACTTTATTATGTTATTGAGGATGTTACAAGTTTTCCATTAGCTGAAGAAATGTGTTTTTTCAAAATTACTGCTAGGTAAACACTGCAATTAACAATTACGATGGAGTACTGTTAACATGACAGTTTAGCAAAAGAAGTTATTCATGCAAAATTAATAAATATGTTGAAAATTACTAGAACTTTCACTGTCTCGGAAGACAGCCTTGTGTCGACTTGAAATACAGATTTCCATTTTAAATTTGCATTTGGATGTAAATTCACATCCTTGTTTTCTTGACCAACAGATAAACGAGACTATCACCATCAGCTTTTGGATTATTTAATTTTGATTAATTAATAAAGTAAATACTCATTCAGTGGATAAAATGATATATTGAAAATCCATGCCTTAGACTCTAAAACCTCAAAGTCACTTCCCTCACCATCCATATAATTTCAAAAATTAGATATGGCTGCTGTAGTATAAGGAGCTATTTCTGCAGCATTGATGATTTATATTCTTCCCAATAAGCCCAAAGTGAATTGCAAAGCCAAACTCATGAAACCTATTTTGACAAAATGTCTGTAAAATCTGTCCCCCTACCATACATGGAAGAGACCTGAGAAAGAGATTCATGCACACATTAATTCAGATAGCTAAATATGGATTTAATAAAGCTGTATTCAGAAAGGCTAACCTTAGGAAGTCAGAATTTACCAGCACTGCTATTCAGTTGTGTGAGATGTTCACACAAACATTTTTCTTCACATTCAAAATTCTCTAATAGCTTCAGCAACTTTCATATTAAAGAAAAATTTTATTAAAGAAAAAAATTTATAATCACAGAATCATTAATGTTGGAAAAGACCACTAAGATTATCGAGTCCAACCATTAACCTAAAGACCACCACGTTCACCATCAAACCTTATCCCCAGGTGTCACATCTACGTGCCTTTCGAACACTTCAGGGATGGTGATTCTACCCCTTCCCCGGACAGCTTGTTGAGTGCTTTAAACCTATATTTTTACATTATATTTTACTTGTTGACATTTTGATTTGCCCAATACACATACATTTAATTGTCAGCAAATAATTAAACCATACATTCAGTTGTCAGCAAATGGAGAAAATCACCAAAGTCTACTGCTCTGCAAAGTCTTTTACAAGAAAACTGTCTGATCAGAACCTCTTTGGCTTTAGACGTGGTTCCTGAACAGCCTGAGTGAAGGAGACCTGAGCACGCACACAGAAACACACACATCCACTCTAGTCCACCAAAGCATCTTCCTCTAACACTTCTTGGTCTACCTGTTGCTATAGTAAAGATTCATCTCACCTGTAAGATCCTGACTTGGGCTTCTCTCTGCCACCACGCAAAATCCCTACAATACTGACAGATTGAAAACATAGCACATGTTTTCCCAAGCACGCAGCTACAATACTCTTATGAAAATGCTAAGGCAACTCAGTCACATTGATTTCAGTGTGAGCCTCCATACATATATGTTGGTACCCTTTGTACCAAATTATCACTATTATTTGTACCAAATTATCACTATTTTTTCCTCCTCTACTGAAACACAAATGGATGGTGTTATAAATAGATCTAAGGAAATAAGACTCACTCGATTCTACAGAACAGTTTTCCAAATAAATGTATGATTGTGTGGGTTTTACTTGCCCTCTCATACCCTTTGGCACAAGAGTTTCCATCTCTACTTAAACCACAGTGCCATCTCCAAAAAGCCTGTTCCCCATTGAGCATCTCTGGGTGCTCCGAGGAGGGTTGCCATACCAACCAGTGCTTGGCGTTCTGCAGGCAAAGGGAGCACAGTTGACATAGCAACCAGCCAAAGCAGTTTCTTCCCAGCTTTTCGGGGACAAGTGGTGGTCACTGGCACAGAAGTGAAGCCTCTCAGCAGAAATGAAGGGAGCAGCCAAGCACTCTCAGCAGGTACTGCCCCATGGCACTTACTCTTCAAAATTTGGGTATTGGCTTTTCCCTCTCTGTTCCTCTGCCCACCACAAACTGATGGGGATGCCTTCCTCCTCTTGGGGCATTCTTTCATCTGAACATCAGAGGACATCAGCTAACAAGGAAGTAATTGCTTGGGCCAAGCTTTGGAAGGCAAATACAGAGAAAGAACAAGTTCCTGTAAATATTCCAGTTCAGGGACATAAGATGATAAGAAGACAGTCTGGGCTATTTCATCCCTGACAAATGGGGATGGGAGGAGAATATTTAAATATACCTTCTCTAATTCAGAGTATCACAGGTATTACAACATCATAGGCTTTTCAGTAGTCAGGAATTTCTATTTCCAGGAACTGATCAAAGGAAAAATAACATACACCTTTATGGTTCACAGGTGTAATACTCTCTGATCTGCTAGAAGAAAGTTAGCAAGAAGAAGTATGGTCTTTCACTACAACCCTGAAGATCTGCCAATAGATTGTGTGGTAAGTTACAATCAAAATCCACTTGCTGATAGAACATAAAATTCAATATTTGATAGGTCCCTCCTAAAAACAGGAATACAAATGTCAAATGTATAGATGCTATACTTGAAAACTCTAAAAGAGATCAAGTCAGAAAAAACCACCATCGAATATCCTTAAGAAAAAGACTTACACAAAAGAAAAATAATGCTAGGCTCAGTGATGAATTTGCTTCATAAAGCACAAATTTATTTATTTTAGAACTGACAGGGTCTTAAGAAAACAGCTACATTTGATTGCACTAATTGAAATCCTGCTAACAACATACAGGGAAGAAAAAATCAACCTCTATCAGCCATCAGCTGGTTCCCACGATGGAGGCAGCTGACCTTAGAGAGATGGGAACTGACAACTAATGGATGTTGCCTCCTACACAGTAGCAGGATATGCCACCAGCGAGTTGGAGAAATGAGCTAGTGTCCTAAAATCTTAAAGCCGTAGGATTTTTTTTTTCAGCTTGGAGATATGAAAAGAGATTAAAAATTTGGGATCTACCAGGTGCCCACGAAGGACTTCTCACACTTCTACTTTGCTCTTTCCATAAATATATAATCTTACATCTTTTCTTTGCGTATCTTGAATGATCAATAAAAATCTGGAAGAAAAAAACTCTCAGGAAGCCCTATAAATTGATATTATTTGTCATATTTGTTCACGTCTTCCTATTTCTTACACTATTGAATGCATAAGTCTTTTAGCACCTGCAAGGTGTTCCAGGACAGCCACCAAAGCTGGGCATACACATATTTGTTTTAAATACTGCGACCATAAATATACAGCTCTATGTCCCTCTTACTTACTATGTTTAAATATGGAAACCACTCAAAACAATTTTCAATAAATCGGTATTTCAAACTGAAAAGTCTACAGTCTTTTTGTCACCACAGAATTGTAAAAAGACCTTTCTACAGGCACTCTGGAACTTGTAGATATTTTTTTAATCACTCCACAGTCCACAAATAAAACAAAACTATATTTTGGAACAGAATGTTGAGGGAAACATGCACTTGAATGAAAATGAAAATAGGTATCTGTTCACATCCACACTTTCAGGTTAAAAAAAGGAATATTTACTCCACCGCAGGAAGAACTTCTTAAATTTTCTCATCTCCAAACCTATTGATTTGCTGACTCTGGGAGCCAGCCAATCTCACTGGCACTGGAACAGCAAGACTGACACCCAAAGTTCTACTTGTTGTCTGTGATTATATGGAACACCAGATATTCTTATAGGAAAACTCATTCAAGACAAATACAATGAACAAAATGCCCTTTGAGAAAGATACCAAGAACACACTGGCCATCAAATGCTGTAGATATGCATAACTTGAAACATAATCCGTGTATTTTTCAGTATCATGGCAGACACCATTTGGGTGTGCCAGGCCTAGAGGGCATCCCCACACCTCATGGGCCCTGATGGATCCCAGGGCTCCCCCTACCCTGATCAGAGACCCAGAACTTCACATCAGCCCCTGCCCCACTGATGCCACAGCAGGGCTGGTCTCCAGCTTCCCACAGCCCTGCCCTACCTGGCCTTGGGCCCCACCAAGCTGAGCTCACCCGTGGTTCCATGACTCATCCCCATCCCCAGGGAGGTGCCCAATATCCAGGGCTGGGGCTGCCCTGGTGACCCCCGGCTGCCCTGCTCTGGGTTTGGGGTGGGATGGGTCCTGGCTGCCTGGCTGCCCTCTGTGGGAATCTCCCACCACAGACACCCTGACAGTGTGTTCACAGCAACTGCGGCTCTTTACATGTAAGAGGGTAGTTCATTTGTACCAGGATTTTATCTGTTCATTTTACAGTAAGGAAACAAACAAGAAGAGATTTTTCTGCAGTGGCTGGGAGTTGCAAAGGTGATGTATGAACTGCCCTCTGCTGCCTTCTTCCCTTCCCTCCAGACACGGCACTTAGGCTGCCAGCTTCCCTTACGTCTTCCTTTCACTCCATCAGCAATGCTAAATCCAACTTTCCATCTTGCAGTAACAAAACTGGGATGCACGCTAAGTCAAAAGGAAAACAATGCATGCACTAAAAATCATTACTGTGGGTAGGATAAACTCACCTTGTGACACAGTAATACTCATAAAACTTAGTAAAGTGCAAAATAAATAAATGGGCAAAAAACCCAAATGCTGCATCCAAGAGGAAATATTACATGCATACGTGATATTCAACCCCCACACAAACTTCTTGCTGTAGAGAGACTGGTGGAAGTAGAAGAAGGTATGTCCTTCTGATAGTGCCCTTTAAAAAAATCAGGCTGTGAGTGATTTTAAAGGGAAATGTCTTGCTGAAGGAACACTTTTGCATGTGCTCTGAAAACCCTGAAAAAATCTGCTAATAGCTTTTGGAAGGGAATCAAAATGTGTAATTGCATAAAGAAAAAGGAGGAGGGTTTCAAACTGCAGTGCTGCCTAACTCCTGAAATGGTAAACTGAACAGTGTCAACAAGAGTGCAAAACTGATGCTGTAGTGGATAATGTGTTGGTTACTTTCCCCTTCCTCTGAATCTCATGAAGTTCAGCAAGGCCAAGCGCATGACCTTACTCCTGGGTCAGGGCAATCCCAAGCATAAAACTGGGCTGGAGGGAGAACGGATTTGAGCAGCCCTGAGGAGAAGGACTTGGGGATGCTGGTGGATGAGAAGCTGGGCATGACCTGACAATATCCACTCACAGCAAAATTACTCATATACATCTGGGCTAGGTGGATACATCAATTTCAAAGACACTCCGTAAATTCAGAAGTAAAAACAGAGACGAGTTATTTAAAGAACTGGAGTTATCTTAACCACAGGTACAGCCTGTAATCACTGCTCAATTATTTACCCAATTCATCTACTATTGTGAAATATCTCGGAAGTAGAAAGTGCATTTAAGAGGCAAGAAGTTCCTTTTCCCCCACAAGGCCCTTGAGTGGACAAAATGTGTGAGTAAATCAGCATGAGCAAGATACATTATATGCCATTGATTTCAGATAGACATTAGTACTCTGCAGAGCACCTCAGCTAGGCTAAATCAGATGGCCTCCTCAAAGACAAAATTATATCCTTCTTTGTCTATCTACCTCTATCTACCTCTGCTTTTGCTCTGGCAGTGCTTTTTCATGCTGGTTTCAGACAATGGAGTAGGAATGAATGGTTTAGACTTATCAGGAACTGGACAAACTTTGTACAAGGTCTGTATGGCAAAAATGAGGCTCAGGTAAAGCTGCTGTAAGTAAAACAGGGAAGTCACCAAAGAAGGAGACTGAATTAAAGGCTATAGGAAAGCTCACAGGTGCAGAAGAATATCTGGATTGGAGATGAATCACAGAGGGGTGAAATTAAAAGAAAGCTTTATAACCTTGAGAAAAAATGTAAGACAGAAGCACATAAAACTCATTTAGGACACAAGTTAAACTCATTCTGTGCTCAAAAATAACATTTAAAGACAGTATAGAAAAATAAACAACCAGATCAAATGCATACATGCTACTATTCAAATGCTGCAAGTTCTTAAATTAGATAAAGGAACTAAGATATCTAATTTTAAGTGAGAATATTGACCTAACAGGAGCATCAGAGTCTTGATGGAAAGAAAGCAGTCAGTGGAAACCTGTAACACAAAACAAACTACACAGGCAAGAAAAAAAGGGTTTAATGTATGTTAAAGAAAGCTTTGCATCAGATAGATAACTGTTCTGAATGTTGAACATTATGGACTACGACACCAGGCCTACATAAGTATTAGAAAACGCTGTCACTGCCTAATCAGGATGACAATGGTGTGAGTGAGAGAGATTTAAGAGATAGAAAGAAAACAAATTAGTAATCAGAATCTTTGATCACCCCCACACAGACTGGGTAAATGTCAGGTTGGGGTGTGATGCAGAGACTAAGTGACACCACAAATGACTGATTCATGAAGAAGCTTTCACTGAAAGTTGAAACAAGCCAAGACACCCTTGACTTGGTTCTGAGCAACGTGCAAGTCACGGGTCAAAATGCTGCGACAGAACAACTGCTCAAAAACCCTGATGGAATCGGGAAATCCTCTTCTAAAAATGAGAAAATTCTAAAATAACATAAAAATAGTATTTCATTTAAAAAAAAAAGGTATAAAAATGAGGCTGCCTGCTTCCAAGTTGGAGAAAAGATTGTTCGTAATATGAACTTCTGAATATCAAAAATAACGGTTGAATAACAAACAAATAAACCCCAGAATGTTTAAAATTTTCAGTAAATAATTTTATTGAAACTAAAAATATGTACTTCAAAAATAAGAATTCACATTCAAAGGAGAATAAAATAGCTAATAAGATAAACATAGAAAAGCAAGACAAAACCACATAAGTAATAATTTCCTAAAGGCATAAACACTTATTATACATCATCAAATGATCTTACAGAAAGCTTTGTAGAACAAGAATGTAGTTCTTGCCATGGATTAATACCAGATATAAGACAAGCAACAAACAGAGCAGTCAGTCTTCACAATAGCGGGAGGTCGCTTGCAGACCTGAACAAGGATTTGTGTGGTCATCATCCCCATAAATGTCGTAAACAGAGGATACCCACTGAGGTACCCATATTTGCTACATTTCTTTGAACAGTAAAAATGAAAAGCGTGAGTGTGAGGAGATGCAGAAGGACAGCAGCATTCTGAATGCCTGAGTAATAAAACAGAAAAAAAATTCAACGCTGATGCAAAGTAACGCCTATGGGGAAAAAAAAGCCCTAACTATGGACTAATTGGTAGGTTGTGAGCTAACCATGGCCACTCAGGAAAAAAACGTTGTGATATTAACCAGATTTTTTATGAATAAATCAGTTCAGTATTCTGCAAAGTCAAAATAAGCAAACTGAACATTAAGACTATCTGGAAAAGAAATACAAAGGCCTGTTTGGATGGGGCCCTGAGTAACCTGGTCTAATGAGTGGCACCCCTGCTCACGGCAAGGGGGTTGGAACTAGATGATCTTTAAGGTCCCTTTCAACCCAAACTGTTCTATGATTCCTGCAAGTGTTCAAGAAAAAAAAAATCATTGCACTGCATCATTTTTGTACTTACATATTGAACACTGTGTACAGTTCTAGTCCCTGTCCCCAACAGGGCAGAGCATAACAAGGTACCAGGAACTCCAGCAATGTGAAATGCACAGAACACCTCCCACATAAAAACAGACTAAACATGCAAAGACTTTTCTGCCTAGAAAAGAAGCAACTAAGAAATATATTGTAGATATCTGTAATAATGTTGTGGAGGAGGCCAACAGCTATTCACACCTCCTCACTTGTAAGAAATAGAGGCCAGCAAAAGAAATTACCAGATGTTGGGCTCTAAACAAATGAAATGGTACTCTATTTTCATGCATATGTATAT